CTCACTGAGCCGGCCATATTAGAGTATGGAGGGTGCGTGGGCTCAGTGAGCAGCGTTCAGGATGCCCCCCCCCCCCCCCCCGCCTCTCATTTGATCCCCAGCCACCACTGCTGCCTCATGACCGGCACAGCAAGCAGACTGCTTCTGTACCATTAGTCAGGTCCCCTGCAGGGGCCATATTCAAAGCCATGGTTCCATGGGGAAAGGATGAAATGGAAAGTCAAAGGAAACGCTAATTTAAGGGAAGTGAGCACCTATGCTGGGCCAGCTGTGGTAGTGAGCCTGGAATCTGATACACTTCTTCCAGGACCTGAAGTGTGGGATCACCTGACGTGGGAGAAGGTGATGATAAAATGAGGCATGAAAGAAGGTGCCAAACTGCTCTGCTAGCAGAAATGTCCCCTACGGTGGAGGTAGATCTGGTTGCTCCAGACACGTGAACTGTTTCCAGTCTCCATGAGACAGTCTCCACACTGAACATACTCTTGGTTCTATTGAGAAATAATCATGCCTATGGCTTTGGAATAATCTTATGTGATCTTAAAAGATTAAGTATTTAGACAGACTGGTAATTTTATCTTCTAACCAGACTGTAAGGTGTCTGAGGGGGAAAAATCAACTAATTCTTTCTTTGTATGCCCATACTGTAGACATAGAATAGGTGCCTGATGTTTCTGTAGTGAATGTCCTGGCCATGGGAGCTACTGTGAAACCAGGACCCTGGGCTACACCTGAGGATGAAAATATGAGGAGAGGAGGGAGGATGCAGAACACAGGTCCTACCCACTAAAAATCCCCTGCTCCAGACATGCTTCCAAACTCTGCTCAGCTTCTGGTGAGAATCCACAGGAGCATCATGCAGTTGAGTCCCAGGCTGAGCAAGGGCTTGGCTTAGGAATTAAACATCTTATTTCCTGGCTTCTGGTTCAGTATGGCTCAAGAAATGTTCTAAACCTCCTGTCCTCAAGATTGCCCAATTTATCTTACCTAAGAGTAGAATGTGGCCCTAAAAGTGGGTAGTCCACAGCCAAAGACAGAAGCATGTGGCTCTAACCAGTGGTTCTCACTCGGGGAAAGCATTTCTTGGTATGATGTCCCCTAGTGTTTTCACAGGTTTCTATTGAGATTGGCATGGGGGGGAAGGAGGCTGTTTTGCCAGTTTAGAAAGCTAAAAAAGAGTGTTTTCTTGGAAAGGAGGAGCCTGTTTTAAGAGTGCCCCTCCTAAGAGGAAAGATCATTAGACCTACCATGTGCAGGCCATCTGACATGTGCTACATTCTCCTTCAGTCCTGACCACACCCGGGGAGCAGCGCTTACAGAGATCTCCAGCTCACACTTGAGTAGCTGAGGCCCACTTGGCCCCAGGTCAAACAGCTGACACTGAGGACAATGAGGGTTCCAAACTCCATCTGTTTGGTAAAGCCATGGATGCTTTCTCCCGGCCACACTGCCTCATGGGGAGGCCAGTCCAAAGAATTGACTTTCTTGCTCCATGGCAGCTCTCCAACCAAAGTAACAGACCAGGTGCTCCTTGCTACAGAACTCTGCCAGTGTGCAGGGGACATTGGGTTTGAATTATTGGCAGACCACTATGGAGTTTTTCTGCAAAGCTAATAAGAGCTGCTGCAGTTCTAAACTAGGCGGTGAAGGATGGAGCTGCCAGGGGCTGCTCAGAACAGTGCTCAGTGGGGTCCCTACTGCACCCTCTCTCCAGGGGCGGGCTGTGGCAGTCACTGTTTGGCAGTGCCAGATCCCACAGCGTAGAGGAGAAGCTGTTATAAACTCTCTGGGCTTTGGAGAAAGTAACAAAGCCTCTCACACATTTGGCAAGTGAAATGAAAAGTTCACTCTCCAGTGTCTGTGTAGCCACATGATTCCCTCAAACCCTGAAATCCTGGGGCCTCTGGGCTGCCTTCCCAGCCTGTGAGCTGATGTCCCTCGGGGACTAGTATAAATCCTAATAATCTCTGTGCATAAAATAATCCAGAACAAAAGTCTGCTACCCACCCTCTGATGTCATATAATTCACCCCAAGGCTAATATAAATTTTGGGTTAATACGTATCTGCTTCCTTTCACTGGGACATTGAATGAAAATTTTCTGCTAACCACGTGTGATGATTGCCTCTGGAAAGTCTAGTATATTCGTCTTTCCCTGGGCCATTTTATTTCTCAGGGAGCTTTGCCGAGCTCAGCCCAGCAGACATCACCCCAGCAGTGCAGAAGCTAGAAGGTCAGTGAAAACAGGTGTTCCCTCCTGCTCACCTGGGGAAGACACCATTCTGAAGGCTGGCCTGAGCCCTGGAGAATATGAACATATGGAGTGAGTGGCTTATTAACTTTACAGGAGAGAACTTGGGGATCTAAGAGCCAGAGCTCCTGCAGGCAGCCCCGTGCAGTAGCTCTTCCTGTCCCCCTGCTATCCAGGAGTTCAGAGGAGTGAAGGCATTTGCTGTGGTGGAGCCAGCATGTGGGCTTGGCCCTGTATGGTTCTGAAGCCTGTGCTCCTGCCTACCACACCGGATTCCTCCCAGCGTGACTACCACAATGTGACTACCACACCAATTCCTCCCGACGACCTGGAGAGAAAGACTGCAGTGCTCAACGGAAACCAGTCTGAAATGGCACAGCCAAGGCAACAGTTCTGCTTACCACAGAGGATTCGGAAAAGCACAGAGTGGAACACAAAGAGCATGAGTCCCAGGTTTGCCACCAACTAGCTGCGTCACTGTGAGCAGGTGCTGTAACCCCTTTCAGCGCTCAGTTTCCCGGTCATAAAAATGGCACCACTGGACACTTTTCCTCTTGGTCCTGACATCCCGGGTTCTGCAATACTGGGCTTGGAAACTTGCTGTGAAGCTTGAATCGGGAAGCTTGTTAGAAGACAGTGCTCTTTTATGAATGCGAAGATGAGCGTGTTATTTTTACATTGAAAACACCTGATTACATTTGAGAATGAGAAATCCATGACAGACACTCAGAGGTTTTCAGGCCACACCTGAACCTCCTGATGTCATGGCTGGGAAGACCCTCCCCAGGCAGCTCTCTACCAAAATGGGCAGTTACCTCCCCTTGTCCGGTCCGGGTGCATTACCCAGCCAGTGCCCCCCCTCGCTCCTTCCTCTGAACACCCGCTGCGCTAGAGCAGTTCCAAAGTGTGGCCCGTGGAAGGTCTGGACTGTCCAAGTGCTGCTGAATCATAAATTCTGGTTTGGGGGGCCCCAAAATATGCATTTTAAAAAGAGATTTCCAAGTGAGCCTGCCGCACGCTAAAATGCATGAACTCCTGCACCGGGGCGGCTGGGACATACCTCTCTGGCAGGGTCTACATTGGAGCCCCGGCCTTTGTGATGGATTGTGGGCAGTTGTGTGGCCTGAGGAGACTTGACACCTGCAGGAGCCCTTTCTCCTCCCCTTGCTCAGGTGTCAGGGCCTGCCTCAGCCCCCGGCACTCAAGCCTTTGGAAGCCCCACCCTTTGTCACATTAAACACCAAAAACACACCATATCCCACAGTCAATATACAGTGAGGCCTTGACTTACGAGTGTCCCAACTAACGAGTTTTTCGAGATACAAGCTGTCTCTCGGCCGATTTTTTGCTTTGAGTTGCGAGCTAAAATTCGGGTTATGAGCCAGCTTCAGATACTCCACCGCTAGTTGGCGCAGCAAATGTCACAGTGAACTCCACAACATCAGCCCAGCATCACGTGTCTCACTTGTTCACTTTAAGATTTGACATACGAGTAATTTGAGTTATGAGCTCCGTCACGGAACAAATTAAACGCGTAAGTCAAGGCCCCACTGTAATTCTTCTAGTTCAGTGATGGCGAACCTATGACACGCGTATCAGAGGTGACACGCGAACTCATTTTTTTGGTTGATTTTTCTTTGTTAAATGGCATTTAAATATATAAAATAAATATCAAAAATATAAGTCTTTGTTTTACTATGGTTGCAAATATCAAAAAATTTCTATATGTGACACGGCACCAGAGTTAAGTTAGGGTTTTTCAAAATGCTGACAGCTGAGCTCAAAAGGTTCGCCATCACTGAGATAAGTCATGAACCACATTAAAATTCAAATACAAAATAGTTATCATGGGACAAGAGTCAGACGGTGGGCTGCCTCTGAGCCCACCTTTATGACTAGCTCTGTGATGTGGGGCTAGTTGTTTAACCCCTTTGAGTTGCCGTTTCTTCGTGGTTATAATAGGGATAATGATCACACCTACCTCCTACGTGGTTGGGAGGATGAAACTGAACTACACATGCGGAGCAATGTTGCTATGACCCACCTCCCTTTCTCCTGCAGTTGTGGTGAGCGGTTCCCACAGGTAAGAGCTTCCCCATGTTATGGACTGAATTGTGTTCCCTCAGAAATCATATGTTGGAGACTTAGCTCCCCCTACTGTGACTGTATTTGGAGAAAGGGCCCCTAAAGCAGTAATGAGGTTAAATGAGGATGGAACCCCGAATCCAACCAGACCAGTGTCCTTATAAGAAGAGGGAGAGACACAGAAGAAAGGCCATGTGGGGACACATGCAGAAGGTGGCTGTCTGCAAGCCAAGGAAAGAGACCTCAGGAGAAACCAACCCTGCCACACCTTTAGACTTTCAGCCCCCAAAACTGTGAGAAAGTAAATGTCTGCTTCAGCCTCCCAGTCTGTGGTATTTTGTTATAGCAGCTTGAGCGGCCTAAGTCACTCCCTTTCTCTCTGAAGGTGATTTTTGGCATCCAGGAGCTCGCTCAGCCTTCAACAGGGCAACTTAAAAACAGAGGATGTTAGGGCCTCCAGAGACACCCCTCAAGCAACAGCAGGTGTGAGTCCATGGATAAATGCTCCACCCCCAGCATCTGAGGGAACAATTCTCAGATGTGTTTCCTCAGAAGGCCCAGCACGGTAGAGCCCCATTGCACACCGCACCGACCTGCTTTTTAGTGCAAACCTCATCGGCTTTTCTCCTTCCCCGCCTGAAGTCGGCCCATGCCCTCACCTGTGCTTCCCGGGATCACTTTCCAGATAAACAAGCTTCACACAGCCCTTGATTCGGGGTCTGCCCCGGCAAGAACCCACACTCCGTCAAGAGCAGGTTCACATGAGCCACTCAGTGAGCATCTCCTCCCTAATAAAAAAGTGAAAACAAGATTTACCAACAGAAGACCTGCTACCATGAAGCAATAGGCTTGGTTTCTAAGTGGACACCATGGACAGTAAGTAACACGGGACTCAAGGGGAGCAGTCAACTTTGACTCTTTGGTGAGCAAATGGGATCACCTACCTAAAGCTTTGGCTTTTCCAGCCAGACAGGGTCTTGGCTCTCAGTTAACTACAAACTGACATCACACAGACAAGGTACAAAACATAGACCTACCTAGTGTTGATACCAAAGACAGGATCCTCTGACCAAAAGCTGGAGCACCCTCCCTATTGATATCCCTTCAAAACCCTCGGGGTAAGCCACGCCTACGTGTTCTGGATGTGCATTTAGCAACATTCAGGGAAAAGAGCAGGTGTGGTGTCCTAAGACGCCCCTCCAGAGGCCCCTTGAGAAGGAATTTACGAGCCGCTGCAGCTCTAGTTCCTTCCTTGACATTTATTGGCTTTTTGATGAATGTTAGAGCAATTTTTCTGTCAGCAGCTTCTTATTACAGGTTTGGTGATGTTCCCGTGACCATTATTTTACTCAATACCATGCCTGGTCACTGTGAGGAGAAGAGGCTCCACTCAGAAACCATCCATCTTTGCGGCAGCAAATAGCTCAGATAATCCTACTTAAATACGCCTCCTGCACTGGCAGCCGCTCGGGCGCGCACAGAGAATTTAGACAATGGCCAGCCTTTAATGGATGGCTCATCTTCTGGCCTTGTGCCTCTCCACTCCTTTAGGACACAGTTCAGGCTTGATTCTCTCTGTTTCTTTTTTAAATAAATTGTGGAGAACTGGGTGAAATCATCACTAGGACATTTCTAAAACACAACACGTTCGCACCATGAATGACACGTGTGCCTTGGAAAGTCTGGAACCAGCAGGTGTTGGAAGAAGGCATCCATTTTTCTTAATGGACTATTTTCTTTGCCCATCAAATGCACTGTCCTAGCACAGTCATGTCCCTGGACACATCTGGAGCCCCTGTCATTCATCAGCATCAGTGCCGGCCTGCATGTGCCCTCCTCCTTCCTACCGCCAGATACAGGACTCTAGCCCGGAGGAGCACCTTTTAAAGGGTTTTTATTGTGAACAATTTCAAACATGGAGAATGTGTGATAAACTACCATGTTCACATTACTCAGCTTTAACAATTATCAATGAATGATTTATCAATCATACTGGCCAATCTTGTGTTATCTGCCCCCTTCCCACCCCAGACTATTTTGAAGTGAATCCCAGAGTGACCTTATTAGAACTTAAACCCCTTGGTATTTTCACCCAGAAATATTAGAACAGATGCTCCTGATGCGCTCATCACTGAGGACATGACAAGGGTCTCGGGAGCCCTGCGCCAGGGGCCTGGGCAGAGGCCAATACTTACACTTTCTCTATCTCTCAGCAACACACATGTTTACCTTTCCCTCCTGTTTCCTGTTCCTACTCCTGCTCCCTGGGATCACTTTCAGAAATAAACTACTTGCACGCAAGCCTGGGGCTCAGGTTCTGCTTTCTGGGGGAACTCGGGTCAAGATACCAGCTCAGGAGAGGGGCAGAGAGAGCCCCAAAAATGGCAGCAGAAGGCAGTCCCAGGGTGACAGCTGGGCAGGAGTCAGGAGAGTATCCAGCCCAGACAGGAGAATAGAGGCCTCATGAGAGATGTGTCTCAGAGATAGGTTGGAACGCAACAGACTTGCATCGGATGTGACTGAACTTGTGGAAAATTGTCCTAAGAAGCTAGAAGGGAACTGAACAGCACGTACCTATTTAGGTCGCATCAAAGGTCGTCACTGCTGACAAGAGGTGGTGGGAAAGTGCAGGGATGTGTTCCTGGGGTGAACAGGCAGCTCTGTAGGAGGCAAATGTGGTACATGAATCAACACCCTTAAAAAATGGCCATGCCCCATGCCCTCAAAAAAGAACCAGAAATTGAGAACAAATGTTACAAAAACAACAAAACTGTGAACCAGTGTATTATTTGTATTAGCATTTTTAAAAAGCAGAATTACTTTGAGTCCAACAAACTGTGGTAATTCTAGAACATTTGCTGGAAGGAGTATCATGAAGCCACTAAAAGTGATATGCTCCATGCAGAGCGGGCCCCACACTGTCAGAAAGACGACAGCAACGGAAAACTGGCGAGATCTGAATTACATTTGTAGTTTGATTCCCGGGATTGTACCACTGTTCATTCCTTATGGTGGTGCAAGATGTTAACAGAGGAAGCTGCGTGGAGGAGATAAGGGAGCTCTGTATTACTTTTGCAACTCTTCTGTAAATATAGCATTATTTCAAAATAAAAATTTTAAGTACATGGATCTGTATTAGGGTTCTCCAGAAAACCAGAACCAATAGGGTAGTTGGGTGGATGGATGGATGGATGGATGGATGGATGGATGGATATCTATAGAAAGAGCTTTGTTATAAGGAGTCACTCACACAGTTGTGGAGGCTGAGTCACTTGCAGGCTGGACCCCCAGGAGAGCCAGGGTGCAGTTCCCAGGCTGAGAGCCGGAGACCCGATGGTGTTGACTCCAGTCCAGGAGTGGAGGCCTGGGAACCAGGAGCGCTGAGGGCAGAAGATCAAGGTTCCAGTTCATACAGTCGGGCAGAGAACGAGCGGATCCTCCCTCCCTCCCTCCAGCGTTCTGTCCTAGTCGGGCCCTTAACAGACTGGACGAGGCCCACACACATTGGGGAAGGCCACCCGCTTTACTCAGTTCACTGATTCAATGCTAATCTCTTCTGGAAACACACTCTTAGGAAATAATGTTTAACTAGCTATGCGAGCATCCTGTGATCCAGGCAAGTGGACACATAAAATTAACCACCACAGCATCCATGTTTGTATGTGTACAACCCGGTCCTGTTAAGATACCCTCAGGATGGATAACAGTGTTTGCCTCTGGGGAGAACAATGGGCGATGGGGTCAGGATTAGAGGGAGACTTACTTTTGCACTGAAAACCCTTTTGTACAGTTCAAATTTTTTAAACATATACTATATTCAAAAAATTAGAAGTCACAGGCACACAGGCTGTGCTCTATAGGAGGCAGATGGTGAGAGGGAATTTTGTGAATTCAGGATGTATTCAGGAAACAGCCTCCAATGAACGCCATGGAAGATAAGAGGGGAAGCAGGACTGGCCAGAGGCAGAAGGCCAGCCTCTGATGATCCGCTGCGGAGCTCCAGAGCCGACAGGGCCCACAGAGTTCTTCCTATTGGGCGACGAAGTGGCTGGGCCAGCTACCTGCCCCCGCCAGGCCCTGGATGTGGGCTGTGCTGGGAAGACCGTAGCCTGGTCCAAGGGGCTCCCTGTCGCTGAGGCAATCCCTGAGGGGTGGCAGCAGCTGGGGCACCAAGTCCTCCCCAGAAAAGGGGGTCTGGGTGACACACCCACATGTTCCTCACAGGAACAAAAAGTGTTCATTCATAAGGACATAGGAAGATGATTATGATGTTTGGAGAGGAAAAAAATACAGGACACAAATTTCTATCTATGGCATGTAATAACTAGGCAAAATAAACAATAAAATTTTTTTTAAAAAACCTTTTTGTTCCTAGAAAAAGCACTGGAAGAAAACATTCCAAAATGTAAAAAGTTTTTTTTTTCCTGAAATGGGACTGCACATAATTTTTCTTTCTACTTCCACATTTCTATATTTTTTCCCAAATTTTCTATGATTTTTAAGTAATCAAAATTTTCAAAAGAGCACTCTAGGATCTGCTGCTGTTGTTTCTATCATTAAGTTTTGATACTGCTTCATAAATTAATTCTATGCTTATAGAGAAGGATGAGGAATATTTACATTATCAAATAATGTCTAAAATTTTAGGGTACTATATAAGAAATAAATTGGTTCTAAAAATCAATATAAACTCAGCCTTTTTAGGCAATCGCAAGTTCAAAGAAAAGTTAGTGGCCTAAACATTTGTTAAATTAAAATGACCAGGTCAATTATTTCTTGTTCTCAACACTTAAAGCAGCAGTCATAAACTTCTCCAGCAGAGGGCGACGGTAGCTTAGGTGAAGCTAGAAATCTCGGCTGCCTAACTTGCAGCTAGGTTGCTGTGACTGGAAAATCGCCTTTGCTTTTTGGAACCGGGGAAAAAAAGTAACTTACTTAGCAGGTTACATACTAACATTAGTTAGTTAGTTCATCTTAGGCAGTGAAGAGCAAGTAGCTCATAAATATAGTTGTTTGCTGTGTGTTTTTTCTTTAAATGAGAGTCAGCTGACCTCACAGTGCGCTGTAAAGATTGCTCCCTCACTTTTTACTCCAGCTGCCATAACAAAATACCACGGACTGGTGCTTACAAACAGGCATTCATTTCTCAGTTCTGGAGCCTGGAGGACCAAGATGAAGGTGCGGCATAGTCCGGTCCTGGTGAAGACTGTCTTCCTGACTTCCAGGGAGAAGGAGCAGAGGGAGAGACACCAGATGGAGAAGACAGGAGATGCAGGCAGAAGGGTGAGCTTCTCTGCTTTCCCTTGGGTGCCCTAGGTTCATTTACAGGACAAGATAGGCAAACTCCACAGTGGCCTAAGCCAGCCGTGGGCAAACTACGGCCCGCGGGCCGGATCCGGCCCATTTGAAATGAATAAAACTAAAAAAAAAAAAAGACCGTACCCTTTTATGTAATG